GTTTAGCTGTTATTACTGTTTTTGGAAGCCACATGTTGGGACTCTGGTGGAAGAAATTCCTCACAAAGGATAAAGTTTTAAAGCATTTCTCTCTCTCAATAAAGGCTGGTAAATTGAACTTCATAAAAAGACCCAAGAATTTGACTTTCAGGACCAAGAGGGGTTGCAGACTGAGTCAGAAATCCTAGAGCAGAGAAAAACACTTTAATTCAGAGGATCTCCCAAACTGATCTGACTTCACAGGTCCTTGGATTTAAAATCTCAAAAGGTGAGTGGTGAGGGACCTAAGACAATTCCTACACTTTAAGAAATCTCCATATTGAGGTCACAAATTGAGAGACTTCACAGATCCATGAGAGTTATACAGCCTGAGATACCTGGGCTAAATAAACTATAATTACAGATACTCTCGTTTCTCCTCACAGTATCCAATATAATGCAGTGATTAAGAAAGCAGGCTCTGAAGCCAGATTGTCCGCACTGGAATTCTAGCCACTTAGTAGCTCTGTGATCTCTGGCAAATTACTTATCTCTGCACCTCAGTCTCCTTATTTGTAATATGGGGATAATAATTATACCTACCTTCCATGGTTGTTTGAATTAAATGGGTTTATACTTGTAAAGTGCTTAGACCAAGTACTTGACATAAAGTGAGAGTTGAATAAACTATATTAGCTATTGTTATTAACCACCTGGGGGAACTTCAACTGAATTTGGAGTCTGGGCATCCAACTGGAAAGACCTGCCTAGGAGGGCCTCCTGAAGGAGATTTGCATAACGGTTGAGGCCCAGCTGACGTCAAGGGTTCCTTGCATTTCCAGATCAGATGTAGCCCTGGAAATAGTTCCTGCCACAGAACAGTCCCACAATCCCCCCACCAACCCTGCTTCCTACCCAGCTCCTGCAGCACCAGGAAGTGAAACAAAGAGGCAGAGCCCCGTGCCTCCAACTCACCCTTGTCCCTCTCATCCCATCCCCCAGGGCTCCACATCCTCCTCCTTTTCATCTTTCATCTCTTATCTTTTAAGGCTCCCAGAAGGGGGACCAGGAGTGAATAGAGCATAGGAGATACACACAAGTGAGGTGAACTCCCCCGTCTGCCCTACAATTTATTCCATTTGTGTCTATCCTATGTAAGGAAAGGCAAACCATTTCTAACCCAAACAGATAATTCTCTGATACTGGAAATGTTTCATCCAGAAGGTGGGTTTACCTCAGAATCATATTTTTTTTTTTTCTTAAAAAGATGACCAGTAAGGGGATCTTAACCCTTGACTTGGTGCTGTCAGCACCACTCTCTCCCAAGCGAGCTAACCGGCCATCCCTATATAGGGATTCAAACGCGTGGCCTTGGTATTATCAGCACCACACTCTCCCAAGTTAGCCACAGGCTAGTCCGGAATCATAATATTTGAACCAGAATTTTCACTGGGCAGTTTTGAATAATTCTAAAGAAAGGGACACCTCCATTGAGGTGCAAGTTTCTCAGAGGAAAAGGGTCAATCTCTTGGGAAGGTTTGGGAGCCAGCTGTGTGGTCACCCATGGCCTCATTCTGACGTCCAAATTGTTCTGGGACCCTCCTCTGGGGTTGGGGCAGTCCCAGCTTTGGACCACCCTCCACTCCCACACCAAACCTCACACTCTCAACTGTTTAACTGGTTGTTGCATCAGGGAGGGTGATGAAATCAGTGTCAGCGGATTTTACCCATGGATGCAACAGGCTGTAGGACCGGCCAGGGTCACTGACACTGTGTACCTTCAACTAGCCACAACTGGGCTTCCTACCATGGAGTAGGGACTGGGTGTTGGAATGTCTAAGTTGGATTTCCAGCCCTTCCTTATACTGAGGAATCGAGTGGTTCTTAGCCAACAACCCTCTTCCCACAAGAGCCCTCCTAACATCCACAGTAAGGCCTGAGGTCTGGGAGCAATTACACCTCATACTGCACTTAAATGTCTTCCCAGTTCACAAACTGCCTTCATATCCATTCTCTTCTATTATGCCAGGACCATGCACTGAAAATAACACTTTCCAATGGAGAAAAAGAAGCCCCCTTATTCTTAGATAGGGGGCATCAGGTAGGAACAAACTTCATTCCGCACTGAGCTCACCATCCTATTGGGAGCTGAACGAATGCTTCTGTTTCAGTTTTCCTCAGGCAGGAGGTGAGGAAATTAGGTTTGGAATGGAGTAGGAGTACAGCTTTGAGAGGCAAAAAGATCAGGCAAAGATTAAACAGGAAGGAACTTGAGACCAGATAAATTTAAATGTTGGTTACTCCCCCATCCCATCTTCTACAGCCATTTCGATTCCTGGAGAGCATTACACATGTGTTCTATCCTAGGCCTCTTGCCACAGCAACCACACGACTCATTTCCCCTGGGACTCAGGCTACATACCTGGGCTCCCCACGAAGGGGGATGATGCAGGGAGGGGAATCCCACCTGCTGTGAGTCACCTGCTAGTATAAAGGGCGGGCCTTGCAATTCAGAGACCTTAAAAAGAAACTCAGAGACAAAGGGAGAAAAACAACAGGAAGCAGCTCAGAAACTCAGTGAACAGAGGAAACCAAACCGGAGACGTACAGAATACAGAGAAGCAGGTTCAGAGCAACGGGAAGTGGACAGAGATTCCACAGGGCTGGTGCAAGGCACAGAGCCAGCCAGATTTAAGAAGCAGGCAACGAGATGCTGTGGAGCAGAGCTCTGATACTGCTGTTGCTGCTGCCCTGGACTGCTCAGGGCCAGGCTGTGCCTGGGGACAGCAGCCCTGTCTGGGCTCAGTGCCAACAGCTCTCTCAAAAGCTCTGCATGCTGGCCTGGAATGCACATCCACTAATGGGACACATGGTGAGTGGCAGCCCCTGGGACCAAATGGGAACCTCTCCAAGTCCTCCAAGGCTGCAATGGAAGACTCTGTAGCCTTGGGTGAAAGCTGGAGGGTTGAAGGCCATCAGGGAGTGAAAGAGGACAGGAAAGTGGGATTCCTGGGAATGTCATAGGCCTGAGGGTCCAGGTAGGGTTCAAAAGTACTTATCTTACTTCTTCATTCTTCCTATCCCTTCCTCCATTCTAGGATCTACTAGGAGAAGACGATGATGAAGAGACTACCAATGAGGTCCCCCACATCCAGTGTGGAGATCGCTGTGATCCCCAAGGACTTAGGGACAACAGTCAGGTACCATTAAGATGAGGCTGGGCCATGACAGAGAGAGAACTGGGTACATGGCTGCACACCATGGTGAACTAGAAGTTGTGTCTGAGATTGGTAGAGAACTGGGTGAGTCTTCAGTGAATGGGATAGGAAGAGGGCATCCATCTTCTTTCATTACTTTCTTCTCTCCCTAGTTCTGTTTGCAAAGAATCCACCAGGGTCTTATTTTCTATGAGAAGCTGCTGGGCTCAGACATTTTTACAGGGGAGCCTGCTCTACTCCCTGATGGCCCTGTGAGCCAGCTTCATGCCTCCCTACTGGGCCTCAGCCAACTCCTGCAGGTATGAACTAGGAGCCTGGAGGATGGGGACTTGCAGATATGAGAGACAGAGGCTTTGGGTGGGAGGTTCAGGATCTAGAGTCCTCTCTGACTGTATCCTGTGTCCTTTCAGCCTGAAGGTCACCAACGGGAGACTCAGCTGACTCTAAGTCCCAGACCCAGCCAGCCATGGCAGCGCCTCCTTCTCCGCTTCAAGATACTTCGTAGCCTCCAGGCCTTTGTGGCTGTTGCTGCCCGGGTCTTTGCCTATGGAGCAGCAACCTTGAGCCCCTAAAGCCAACAGGTTAAGGATGGCATCCAGATCTCCATGGCTCAGCAAAGCCATTACACATGTGAGCCAAGAAGTTAATTAGTCCATTAATTCTAATGGGACTTGCATATGTTGAAAAATTACCAATACTGACTGACTTACAATGCTGACCTATGACAAGGTTGAATATTTATTAGATGGGAAGGAAATTTGGGGGATTATTTATGCTCATAAGAGCAGTTTGGGGAGGATTATTTATTATATTTATACTGAATTATGTACTTTTTTTCAATAAAGACTCATTTATGTGGCTATCCGAGTTTAATTTCTAGGCCTAGTTGGGAAAGAGAAACAGTTGGAAAAGTAGGGCCAAGGGAATATGCATCCCTCTCTTCTACTCCGAAGGACTAACGTGGAGAGTGACATTTTCTCATGACCCCCAGGGTATAGTATAACTGGATCTTTGGTTAAAGTGTGTTGTTCTAACACCAAGGTCAAGGGTTTGGATCCCCATAATGGCCAGCCACCAAAAAAAATAACTGGATCTTTTTGGTATTAATCCCTGTATGGCTGAGCAAGCAGAATGGGATTATAAGGGGTTGAATTAGGAAGTGGGGACACACCTAGGGGTCATTTGCTCCCTGATTCAGTGCCTCCTTCCCTGCTTTCTTGGCTAAGAGTATCTGGCCAAAGACAGGAGCCCTCATCACTGCAGGATCAAAAGTCACAGTTCAGCTTTGAACAGGAAGGGCATTCCAGGAAGATGAAGGTAAATCCCCCAAACCAGTGAGATTCTCCCTTAAAAGACATCTGTGGGCCCCTTCAGAAGTGAGTTTGCTTCCCCAAGGGGAGCTAACTTATCTTTCGGAAAAAAAGCAGAGGAAAGGACTAGTTATTATTTCCTTTCCTTTTCTCCATAGTTGCAATGTCAAAAGAGCATGGGTTTTGGACTCAGAGTCAGGTTTATGTCTTAGCTTTGCCACCAACCACCTGAGTGACAATGGCATAGTTATATAAATACCCATTCCCCTCCTCCAACACATATATAGCTCAAAGCCCCCCAGGAAGAGTCTAAAAGAGAGAAGGAGCTGCTCCAAATAGGGAGGGAAGAAGAAACATGACAAGAGGCATAGGAGTGGGTAGAAGAGAGGCCACATTTGCGCTGACCATATTCTTGTTCCTGTGTGGCTTGTTGGTATCCCTAAGAACCTTAGTCTTTGTTAGCAGAGAGTAAAGAAGTTCAGAGATAAAACTCTTCCAGGGCAGCACAAAGTTTATTAGCCATTTCTGCTCAGAAGAGCCCCTTTTTGAACAGGACTGTTCCTCTGACATACCAGGCAGGAAACAGCCACATGTGCAGGGCCCCACTTTCATTTATATCTCAAGTTACACCAGAAGCACATCTTAGAGCAATGGCAGTTGCTCCCTGAGGTTCCTTGGGAATGGCTAAGGTGTGAAGTGTCCAGAGTCCTATAATAAACCATCAAGGTTCTAAGTTCCAGGAACTTGGTCTAGCCCAGGTCCACACCCAAGGAAAAGAAACCTTCCTTTCAGGTAAACAATATATGATACAACATGCTGGCTAGTTAGCTCAGTTGGTTAGAGAGCAGCCTTATTACACCAAGGTCACAGGTTCAGATCCCCATACTGCCCCCACCCCCCCGCCATCTCCCCTCCTCAAAAAACCACAATGTATGCTACAAAAGAAAGGGGATGATATCTTCACAGAGAAATAGCTAAGACCCAGAGCTTCTCTTCCTCTGTAAAAACACCAAACTCTATCCAATACTATAAAAAGCTGTTCCTAAATTCCCAGCAACACTACTACCCTGGCCTCTGGGAGTGGTTAGTCTCCTAAGCATTAAGGAAGTGAAGACCAAGCAGCATAAATTAGTGTGCAAAGCTTCACAGGCATGTTAGATTGGCAAGACCACTTCATGGGGCAGGAATGGGTGCAGCCAGCTTAGGGGACAGAGCAGGGGAGGAGACTGGTAGGAAGAGGTCTACTTATCCCTCTCTTCAGGGTGGAGCTTCACATGGTAGGCTGAGACAGAAAGCTCCACAGGAAAAGTAGAAATTTAGGACTTGAGTCAGGAATGAAAGGAAGAAAGGCAAAGGTTATCTTAGACATGAAGGAACCAGAAGGGAGAGATGGAGTCCTATCACACACCTGTGCTAGTGTGCACCAGTTTAGCCTCAACAGGTATTAAAATGTTAAAAATCCTTCCATACTGAAAAGATGCCACTGCCCTGAGCCGTCCAAGTACGTCCCAACATCCTGGCCTGCTCCCAGGATCCTTACGCCTCCCAGCACAGCAGACAGCCTCCAGGATCCTATTTAGAACTATGGCCAGCATCTGTTCTGATTTGTTGGTGCCCCTTCCATACCCAACTTTCACCTCTCACCTCAAATCCCAGGGTTAACCCAACTTAGAAGGGGCACATGCCTGATTTCCCATCCTTGAAGAAGAACATCATGACATGGGGAGTAGGAAGACAAGAGATACGGAAAAAACAAAGGAAATGTAATTCCTAGTAGTCAGAAGGAATCAAGGGTCCATCGGTGTAGAAATGGCTGGGGCTGGAGACGTAGGCCTCATCCACAGTGTTCTGGCCAGCCAACAGTGGGTCACCATTTCGCATGATTTCTTCAATCTTCATACAGTTTCTGAAGACTAGGTAATCCAAAGAGAGAAGTCAGGCCCTGATCTTAGTTGGGAGTTCCCAACCTAGCAGGGAAAGTGAGGGAGGATGGCAAGAAAGGCCTAAACAGGGCCTGAGGGGGGATTTGGGGGATGGAGGAACAGCAGGTTGGGGGAGGCATGTGCATATCCTAATAAATGGAATCACCAGGCAAGGAGTCTCTCTCCAATAAGGAGCTTGGAGCTCAGCCTCTTCTGTAATGGACGAGGGAGGGGAGGTGGGTAAGGAAATGTGTCCCCCCTTCCCTAGACCCATCTCATCACTTACTTTCCATTCCCTCAGTGTTGAGGTGTCTCAGATCACAGGGCAAATCTGGCTCTGGCAGTGGCTGTGATACAGGTCTCGGATTTGGCTCTGGCACTCTTTGTGATACCAAGCATAGTGTGGGCTCCATCATGGGCTCTAGCTTGGGCTCCAGCACAGGCTCAAGAGTGGGCTCCATCACGGGCTCTAGCTTGAGCTCCAGCGCAGGCTCCAGAGTGGCCTCCAGGACAGGCTCCAGAGTGGGCTCCAGTACAGGCTCCAGAGTGGACTCAAATGTGGGCCCAAGATCCAGCATTGATTCTAGCAGTGGCTCTAACTCCTGGCCTAGCCCTAGCTCTGGCTCTGGTGCCAGGCCCAGCTCCAGGTCTAATGACTCCAGTTCTGGCTCCAGCTCCAGCGGTTGTCGCAGCTCATCCACCTGTCTGGATCCCCAGACAGACAAAGGGGCAGGGCTCAGTGGTATAGGTGATATGGGGAATAGTAGAGCAAGCAGAGGTTGTCTCTCTAGTCTAAGAAGGTAGTACAACAGAGGGCTAAAGAGCACAGGCTTTAGAATCAGGCTTGCTAGAGTCTGAGTCCCATCATTTACTAGCTGGGTGACCTTAGACAAGTTACCTAACCTCTCTTTGCCTCAGATTAATCATCTGTAAATGGGAATGACAATGCCTAATAATTCTTGAGAGGCAATAGGATGGTTAAAAACAGGGCTTTGGAATCTGACAGACCTGGATCATATATTAGCCATGTACCTTAAGTATGCCACTTCACCATGCTAAACTTCAGTTTTCTCAGCTGAAAACAATAATAACAGGGTCTACTTCACAGGACTATTGTGAAGATTCAATAAAATGAGAAAACGAACACAAAGCATTTGGCCCAGTGCCTGGCACATAATAAACTTTCAATAAATGTATCTACTATTATTACGTACTCTGATGGGTCGACATAAGGATTAAATGAAAAAATCTCTTAAAAAAAATCTAGTACTATGCTTGGCATCAAGCTGGTGTCCAGTCATTATGACCATTATTATCAGGGAACTCGTGTGGAGACAACTAAGGACTGCAGCAGGAAAACACGAGAGAGGAGAGGGACTAGAAGAACAGGAAAAACCTAGAGGACTGGAGAATGTGGGTCAGTAGGGAAAGAAGGCTGGAGAGACTGGAATTGGGCAAGTTAGAGTCACTATATCAGCCAAAAAGGATTAGAGAGAATGGACAAAGGTTCATATCTCACCTGTTAGAGACTACAATGAGCCTATGTTTCAGGTATTTCCTCCGTTCCTGGAGATTAACTGTTGGGAATATACACAGGAGGCAGGGTAGATCAGCAGGTTGGACACATAACCCAAGGGGTGCCTAGTGTAGATCGTCCTGAGAGTCATATCTCTCTACTAACTAGCAGTGCCCCATGGACAAATCCCTTAACTTCTTTGCATTTTGGTTTTCCCATGTTTGAAACAAAAGAGTTGGATTTATGATGTCTGAGGATCTTTGCAATCTAGCAATGAAGTATGTCAATGAGTCCTACCTTTCTCCTGGTAGTAGCACCCAAAAGCCTCATCCCGGGGGATTCGGGGATAGAGGAAGCGCAGTGGGTTCTCAGGTATGTTCTCCTCAGTGAGCAGCTGGTAGTGGCGGATGATTTCAGTCAGTGGTAGTGACTGCAGCACCTCCTTGGTGTAGGGCTGCACAGAGTAGATGAGTACCTTATCTGGAGAGTGAATGCAGGAACAGGCAGGCTTGAGGAATGAGTTGTGCCTGAGGTCCCTGCCCTTACTGCCCAACCCCAAACTTGATGAGGGATTCAGGACAGAGCCAGGGAAGCCAAGGGTCTGCAGGGGGCCAAAAGTGAGCCAGGCAGAAAGGAGAGGCTGTGAGAACAGAAGGGCAGAGCAGCTGACCATCGTCCTGGTGCTCCACCCAGGAGCAGGTAATGCCCCCTTCTGATGATTCACTGAAGCGCAGTAGAAAGGTGCCAGAGATGGTCTTCTTCAGCAGCCGGCGCTCCTGGCTCCGGCTCACAAAGCCCATGATATGTCTGGAGCACAGAAAGCAGCTGTGAGGCTCCCCTAGTCTCCTGCCCCTGACTCCCCATTTTATGGGGAGAGAGAGACAGGTCGTGGCCCTAGCTCTGCCACTTACAAACTTTTCCATCTCGTCCAAGTCATTTCACTTTACTGACAATACCCATCCTCCCAAGGTTCAAAGAGGCATGAGAAGTCAGTGAGATCACACAGATGAAAAGCACTTTGTAAAGGTCGAGTGCTGTACAAACTGGCAGGCAGGATGGTGGAAGGAGCATGGGTTTGGAGTCACATAGACCTGGGTTTGAATCCCAACTCTGTTGCTTGGATAAGTTCTTTAATTTCTCTGAGATTTAGTTTCCTCATTTGCAATGAAGGTGGTAACACCCACCACTCAGCAAGACTGTAAGGATTAAGTGGGAGAATTCATGAAGAGCACCCAGCAGGCTCTGGAACACAGTAGATAGTTGACAAATACTGGCTACTACTATTATTATAAATGTGAGGGGGTGTGACCTCACACCTGTTTTTGTTCTCTTTGTTTGCCACATGAGGGCGCACAAAGTCCACTCCCAACCCCAGAAAGCACAGGCCTGCACAGGAAGGTTGACCAAGGACTTACCCATCATTCCAGAGATCCTTCAGGTGGTCATGTACCAGCTCCAGAATTTTGTCCAGCCATGTCCAGAATGGTAGCTTGCCAGGGGGAATCTCTCGCTGAAGGAGGAATGGGAAGGCAGGAAGAATGTGGAGTTTCCCCCGGTATCAGGAATGAGTAATGGGGGAAGGGACGACATTTGGATTGGGGGCTAGATCTAGCTACACAGGATGCAGGGAGTTACCTTAGTGAAGTCAGCCCAGGACAACAAAGCATCCTCAACCCTAGAGTTCTGCCCTGTGGGACAGATAGCCACAGAGGGTTCAGATGTCAGAAGGAAGCAAAGCCTGGGATAGATAGGAGAGGGCTAGGGCAGACTAAGGCTGGGGAAAGGCTGAGAGAAAAGGAGATCTGTACCAAATAGTTTGTCCCTCAGCATGCTTAGCTGCTCTGGGTTGAGGCCTCGACCAATGTAAGAGGAGAACTGCCAACTGAGAGCAGGGCCCAGCAAGCTCCAGGGAGCCTTGGCGGGGCTGGAGAAGAACTGCTGGTTCTGCAAGGGTGGGAGGAGGGCAGTATGGCTCAGAAGCATACCTTCACACCAAGCTTTCACACCCCTCCTCTCTACCCTTCACATGTTGGCCCCACTGCCTACCTGGGGGTTTGTGCTGAGGAGATTGAACCAGAGAACTGAGGCCCAGGCAATTGAGAGTTGGTTCATGTTAGAAATAATCACCACAGGGAGGGTGTCCGTCTGGAAAGAAGACCGAAATGTCATCAGAGGAATGTGATGTTTCTAACTGCAGGCATCTGGTAGGGGCAAAGGGTGATATACCACCTCAATAAGCTTCTGTTAATCCCCCTCTTTATTTATGCCTTCATCCAAATCTGCTTCATCTCTCCCAGTTCTCCATTTTCACTCACTTTCAGCTCTTGCTTCAGACCCTGGTAGGTGTATTTGACTGTGAAGGTGATGATGTGCAGTTCCTCTGTCACACTCAGTGGCCCCTGAGATAGCCAAAGACACAGTGATCAGACGGTCTTTTGGAAAGTTCCTCCTGCCCCCCAATCCTCTGTCCATGCCTCACCTTATTGCTGCCCTTTCCTGAGCCACCTGAACGTTGTTCCACCAGAGTCTGTGAATTGAAGGGAGAAAGAATGTCAAAGTAGAGAACCCCTGGTTTGCCTGAAGACTTCTCAAGGCCTGGGAACTTCCCCCAGCCCCCTGTTCCTTTGGACTAGAAGCGTGAGTTGCTGACCATTCTTACCAGGTGGCCAAAGTCCCAAATTAAGCCCTGACTCTGCCCCTTCTCAGGTGTCAAAGTTTTCTGGTTTGAGGTCAGAATGTTGAACTTCCGGAAGCTGTTCCAGGGGAAAAAGATATATGGAGAAAAGGAGCAGAGTTATTCTAAAACTCAGCAGGAAAACAACAAAAGATCCACTTCATTTCAGATCTCCCCTTCTCCCTTTGTCCATATGCCACCCAAATCCCCCTCCTTGTCTGTCCTCCCAGCAGGCATGCCAAATATGGTTGTGTAGGTCAGGTTGTGCATAAATATTTGTAGTGTCCTAGTTGGGTACCTACCCTTGTAATTGAGGAGGATTCCTAAAAAGAAATACAAAAAAGAAAAGAAAAAGAAAAAAATCATTGGGAAGCAAAAGACTATAGAAATTAGGAATTTTGTTTTTGGGATCAGACAGACCTGGGTTCAAACCTGACTACAGTTCACTAGCTATGTGGCTTTGCGAAGAGACATAATCTCTCTGAGCCTTTTTCCTTATTTGTACACCGCATTGGTAATACCTAACTCAGGGGGCTGCTATGACAATTAAGTATTTGACATGCTACATGTCACACAGAAAGTGCTCAACAAAAGAGATGAGTTATTATTTCTATGAGATAGGAATGGAAGGGGAAAGAAGACAGGCCCAGGGTCCAGAAGACTGGGTATCTCCTCTACCCCACCAGCTCATGTCCTGGCCACCCCTTGGCCCTACCATTCACCTGCCCCAATTTACCCGTCAATGGAGACTTCCACGGTCAGTGACTCACTGCCTTCTTGCAGTCTCACCAGCAGCCTGGGGGGGAAAGGGAGGTAGAAGGGGGAAAGCAGTCAACCTCAACTTCCTGCATAGGCCAAATGTTTGAAAAAAGTAAGGTAAGGGATTAGAAGAGGAGGTAGATGGAGGGGAAAGGGAAAAGCAAAGGCCAAGAACTGGAAAATGCACAACAGCAAGGTTGGAAAAAGAAAACAGGAATGAGCTCTGAAATGCTAACCTTGTTCGGACGGTGAATTTACTCCCAGTCTTGAGGATGAGGGGTCGATGGGGAGTTTGGGGCATGCAGGGCTGGGTTTCTACCACAAAGGCTCTGGGGAGAGAGGTGTGGAGAGAATATATAGCTCAGTATCTACAAGAATGGCTCTCCTCATTCCTTCCCTCAGTCTCTCCCCACAGGTCCCTCCCTCTACACCTGTGGAGAAGACGTTGTAGCAACTCTGTGACCTGAGCCTTCAGTAGGTCTACCCCTTTGGTCAGAGGGTCGTCCTGATAGCTAACCAGCAGACTCAATCCCTTCAGCTCCTTCAGCAGCTGCCGCAGGTGAAACAAAAGTTTTGCTCCAGCTGTGAACCTGTATGACAGAATCCAGGGAGAAGGAATCCATGAGCTTCCTGGAGCTTCCATCCAGGCTCTGAGAGCTTTCCTTTAACCAAGTGGAGAATCAGAAACTGATTGGGGCAAAAACAAACAAACAAACCAGGAAGCATATAAAACCAGGAAATATTATTCAACATGATTCATAATCCAAGAAATGAAAATCAAAGCCATTTTCACATACAAATCTGATAAAAATGTTTATTAAGAAAATAATAGCTTTCTTTTTTGTTGTTATTTAATTTTACTTATTTATGGGTTTTTTCTTGTTGTTGACTGGCCTGTATGGGGAACTGAACCCTTGGCCTTAGAATAATAGATAACCTTTCAGTTGGTTAGAGCACAGCCTTGTAACCAAGGTCAAGGGTTCGGTTCCCCATACTGGCCAGCCGTCAAAAACAAACAAAAAAAACACTGCGTTTCCTTTTGGAGAGGTGGTCCTGAGCAGGTGAATCATATGGCATTTATGCATATGTTGGGACTGCACCCACCTCTCCCCACTCCCCCCAACCTTTGCTTCTTGGGTTGTTGTGCTACTTTCCCCTTACTTTGCTACATTTCTATAGTTAAGTTGGTTTTACTTGAATGATTAATGTTTAGGGGAAAAAAATGAAAAACACGTTTAAAATTTGTTTCAACTCCTCCTGCAAATAAAAAAAAAAATGAAGCAGCAAAAAAAAAAAAAAAAAAAAAAAAAAAAAAAGAATAATAGCTAACTTTCATATGATGCTTGAGGTGTACAATTTATACTAAATGCTTTACACATATTAATGCATTTAATCCTCTCAACAACCCTATGAGGCAGGTATTATTATGACTCCATTTTACAGATGATAAAACTGAGGCACAGGAATGTTAAAGTGACTTGCTCAAGGTCATACAACTAGTAAGGAATGAAGCTTATATTTGATCCCAGGCAGTGTGGTTACAGAACACATACTTTTAACTGTTATACTTTACTGTCTCTATAATAAAAAACAATAATAATACGCAATGCGGTGATAGGAAAACAACCATACACTACATATGAGAAAAAAGATTTGGACAACTTTTCTGGAGGCAGTTTGGAACTATCTTTTTAAAAGCCTCAAAAAATGGGGCCAGGGCCGGCCCCGTGGCGCACTTGGGAGAGTGCGGCGCTTGGGAGCGCAGCCATGCTCCCGCGGCGGGTTCAGATCCTATATAAGGATGGCCGGTGCGCTCACTGGCTGAGCGCGGTGCAGGCGACACCAAGCCAAGGGTTGCATCCCCTTACCGGTCAAAAAAAAAAAAAAGACATAAAAGCCTCAAAAAATGAGCATACATTTTACAGTATTCCATTCTTAGCTATATCCTCCTAATAACCCCAAGGTCACAGGTTCAGATCCCTGTACTGGCCAGCAGTAAAAAAAAAAAAGTCTGAAGAAAAGGCTAAGCTATATCCTAAGGAAATATTTGTAATAGAAATATTTATAATAGAAAAATTAGAAAGAATTGGTATTGCTTATATAAATTATGGTATATTCACATCATGGAATGCTATGTAACCATTACTATGTAACTAATCCTATGTAACCATTAAAAACAGTGATACAGGTCCAAATTTTTTATATGGAAAAATGTATCTTACATGTAATATAATATATTATACTTTATATTACATAAAAGTATATTTTCCATGGAAAACTATTTTTACATGTCCAAAAATAAATTTAAAAAATTACAAGACAGTGCATATATGATGTGCTCTGACTTCTGTTTAAAATAGATGTATATTGGGGCCGGCCCGGTGGCGCACTGCTACAGTGCACCGCTTGTGAGCGCGGTGGCGCTCCCGCCGAGGGTTCAGATCCCACATACAGACCGGTTCCCGCTCACTGGCTGAGCGAGGTGTGGGAGCAACACCGAGGGCTGCGGTCCCGTTGCCGGTCCCGGTCCGGTACGGGCGCGACACTGAGGGTTGCGATCCGTTGCCGGACACGAAAAAAGACAAGAAAAAGGAAAAAAAAAAAAAAAGATGTATATTTGAGGCCGGCCCATGGCTCACTCGGGAGAGTGTGGTGCTGATAACTCCAAGGCCGTGGGTTCAGTTTAAAAAAATAAAAATAAAAATAAAAAATAAATAAAATAGATGTATATTTGTATATCTACATAGAGGAATCTGGGAAAAGCATATTCAAAAACATTAATAGTGGGTGCCTCTGGATGACCAGATTATGAGTGGGTTTTACTTTCTTTTCTCTTTTAAGTTGTCTGAATATTTTTCAATTGGTATACACTGTATTTATAATCAGAAAAAGGAAGAAAGTTTTTTCTATTAAAAATAATGGAACAAAGGATCAACACAGTAACAATGTCACCACCAAGAAGAAAAGGTATATATTTTACCCAGGAATAACAATTCTGGGAATTTACAAGTATAGAAATTATTAGGAATATAAACAAAGATGTAGCTATAAGGACATTTACTGTAGCACTGTTTAAAACTACAAGAAATCACTCGGAGGCCATAGTTTTCCAAGCTCTATATGATAATGGGTATGTCTGCAACTGCAACTTAAATGCTGGTCCTGTACCCTAAGCACTGTACACCTGTTTTTCAATTTACAGGAATAGTTATGGTATATTTTTTAAAGTTTAAATTATAATAAATTTTCTCATGAGAAAATATTTAAAAGAGTAGGTATTTTTCAAGTATGTTGAAGGACACATTAGTGATTTTTTTCCATATCACAATAAAATTACTATAAAATAAAAAGTTTACTGGAAAAAAACAGCAAGAAATTGAAAATAACCTAAATGACCAAAAATAGGAACTCACTAACTAAATTATGTTACCACCACATAGGGGACTATTTTGAAGTCATTAGAAGTAACACTGGTAAACATAATATACTGCTAAGTTTTTAAAAAATTCACAGGTTTCAAAATAGTACAAACAATACGATTCAATTTTTAATCTATATCTGGGTAGTAAGATAATAGGTAATTTTCTTTCTCTTTCTTTCTTCTTGTTTGGCAGTATATTCACTGCAGTAAAAAAAAAAAAGTAGAAAATTTATTTCTTGGGTAATTAAAAATGAAGGAGATCAGATCCCCATACTTGACAGCCGCCAAAAAAAAAAAAAGGAAGGAGAGTACAGATTGTGGATTAATCCATTATTTTCACCAAAGCAAAGACTGGGCTCTGTGTTCCTTGGGTGGTGGGGATGAAGAGCAGAGTATAGCTGCTGCAGTCAGACAAGGGAGCTTGAATCATTCTAGGGAGTACAGACTAATGAGAATACTTCTTGCTGTATACATAGTACTACAAGTTTCAAATCACAGAGGGTGGCTAGGACTAGGGTGGGGTTGAGCATGCAGATGGGGAGGTGCCTCTCACCATTTCTCCAGCTGTTCCAACCCATGGTCCAGGGAAGCTCCAATGCAGGCTTTTTGTTGCTGGATTTTCCATTCCTCCAACTTTGGCAGCAGTAGCTCAATTAGGGTAGTTAATCGGCCTCGTAGTGCTTTGGAGATATCCAGCACCTCCTAGGAAAAAAATAATATGAGTGCTGAGCACCTGTCATCATCACCCTGACCATCCAACTGGGGATGAGGAAACAAAGAAGCCAAGGATAAGGGGCCAGGGCCCCAAGATCCCACGTTTTTCTCAGTTCCCTGCTTCCCACTCCCTCTGTCCTCTGCCTCCCACCTTTCTCCTCTTGTCCAGTTCATTAAGAGTTTCTTGCAGAAGCTGCTGCTGTCTGGCCTGATAGGGATCCAAAGAGGGTGTCCTCCCTGGATGGCAGAAGTAAGAGTCAGACTAGGGGCTCCTTCTCCTCTCTGTCCTGACCAGGGTCTCAGGAAGGGGGAATTTTGGAGGGAAACCAAGCAAAGCACAGGCACCTATGGGACCCTGAGGCCAATTCAGAATGGTCATGCTTGGAGAAGCCCACTCAATCTGCTAAGTCAGTTTTCCGTGCCTTTTTTCCAACATTCACTAGCTGTCCCTCAGCCACACTTCCAGCTCAACCTCTGCAACACATTGGCACTTTTATCTTGTATGGCAGCAGGACTGTAGTCAGAGAGGTGTGGCCAAAGGTTAACTATTGCTCCCTGGAGCTTTCCCCTTCTGTTCCTTCTGTTCTCTTCCACCCTTGGCCTCCCAGCAGGCACCTGTCTCTCTCCCACCCTTCGTTGTGCTTCCTACCTTTGGTCTGAGTATTATATCGGAAGCAGAAGACATCCTGCTGGTCCTTCAGTTGGCTGATGGATTTCACCAACTTCTGTGGAGGGGATGAGACCCTTTGAGGCTGCTTCTGAGGAGAAGGTAGGTTGAGCCCTGCCCACCTCAACTCTTGCCACATCTACCAACCTCCATCATAGCCCTTAAATCCAGGATCCGGGATTCAATCTCAGGCTGCTGGCTCTCCACAGGTGCTTCAAGAGCTGGCTTGCCTTGCTCCTAAAATAAGAGATTCTGAGTACATTTCAACTCTGATCTCTCATCCCTAAAATCCTGGCCTGACATTATACCACAAGATGTAGGGGGATCCTGTTCTGAAACAAATTCCCGAGTCCTTTCCATGGTCCCTCTCTACTCCAGGAGCTTCCAACATCACTAACAAATTGTCCTCACCAACTGAGCCCTCTGAGCCTGGATCAGAATTCTTTTTTCTTCCAGAAGAAGATTAAAAATCATCTCAGCCAATTGGGCAGGGCCCTGGGGAAAGGCCTAGAGTAAGAAAAGAGAAAGGATTGATCCAGTTCAACCACCCTCAATGACCTACCACCCTAGACCCTCCCTACCACCAATGTCTCCAGTATTTCCCACTCCTTCAGGGTCCCCAGTCCTTTCCCTTTTCATCACTGGTCCTCCAAATCCTGAAACCCTACCAATGGTGTCATCTAGACTCTGTACCTTCTCTCTGCCAGTGATCCCCCAAGTCCAGCTGTCCCCCTGTTCACAGATCTGCCCCCTCCCTTTGAACCTCCAGGTACTGTTTTACACCCCAAACCTTACGCCTCTACACTCAGCTCCCAGTCCTACCCTGTTATTCCCAACTCCTCCAAGTACCTGAATATCCCGGTAGAATTTTCGCAAGTTGTGCTGTAGCAACAAGCACTCAGGGTCCTGCCTGCAGCGACCACACTCATAGTTCAGTTGGTCCAAGAAGTGGAAGAACAGCATGTTAGCCTTGGAATCATTGCCCATTATAGCCTCCTTCCTGGGGACCAGGAATGACAAGGATTAGTGTCTCTCCAGCATTGCTGCTGTCTGAGGCCTTCAACCCCTTCCTTTCCCTGATGTCTCCAGGATCCTTGGGGATCAGAAGAAAGGAACCACCTTCCTCATCCCCCCAACTTCCTGAAGACCTCACCAGTTCTGATCTTCAATCCAAATGGCCAAGTACTGTCGAACGTCCACCGGGAGAAGGCTTTGTGAGTAGAGCTGGTGCAGCTGATCCTGAAATGGGCTGTCGAGATTCTGCAGCTTCTCCCACTGGGCCATTTGGGCTCTGAGTTGGAAGGATGCAGGTTCCCAATTGGATATTTTGCTGGACTAAATTATCCATAGTCTCATGATTGTTTATTATTACTATCTAAAAGTGTTCAAATTGGGCCGAGCCCGTGGCGCACTCGGGAGAGTGCAGCGCTGGGAGCCGCCGCGGGTTCGGATCCTATATAGGGATGACCGTGCGCTCACAGCGCTCACTGGCTGAGCGCGGTGCAGCCGGCCTCAAAAAAAAAAGGACAAAATAAAATAAAATAAAAGTGTTCAAATGGGGCCGAGCCCGTGGCGCACTCGGGAGAGTGCAGCGCTGGGAGCCGCCGCGGGTTCGGATCCTATATAGGGATGACCGTGCGCTCACAGCGCTCACTGGCTGAGCGCGGTGCAGCCGGCCTCAAAAAAAAAAGGACAAAATAAAATAAAATAAAAGTGTTCAAATTATATAAATAAATAACATACAGAAAATATTAAAGTCTACACTGAACCCACTCCCAATCTTGGTCCTTTCCCCTCCTCCTCAGAAGTAACCACTGCTATCAGTTTGGTGTACATTCTTTCAGGGAGTGCTATTTAATAGCTCCAGTATGTGGGTCTTTTTGCTTTAATGGTAATTTTCAAACACACCAAAGTAGAGTGAATAGTACAAGGAGCATCCATGTACTCATCATCCAGCTTCAACAAACATTAATACTTCAACTATCTTGTTTTATCTAACTCTTCCAATTAATTTATTTTAAATTTATTTGTTGATATTTCTATTTGCATATGCTGGGGTATTTAAAGATCAGCGCTGGTCTTAAGTACTTATTATAGCATGAGCCCTGCTGGCTTTGAAGCTTTGAGGCTGAAACCTTCTTGAGGATAAGGTAAGTACACCCTATACTCCCCTCCATGCAGGAAGGAGGAGCTCCATTCTAGATGTCTAAATACCGTGCAAGACATCACTCAGTTCCTAAGACTGTGACATTTTTATGATCTCTGTCAATCTCTGATTCTCCATATGGATTATCAACTTTGTGAGACCCCAAAATTTCACTCAAAAACTGTGGTCTTAAAAAAGTCGCATGATTTTATTACAACACAAAGAAACATGTTTGGGCTGGGAGAGTCTTTTCCCCCAGCATGAATAAACAGTAGCTGCCTTTCTTCCTTCAGAAGTAAGAACAGGGGACAAGGAGGGATTGGGTCCAGGCATCTATTTTTCATTTTAACACTTTTAGTAGTGCTTCACTTTTTTTTTTTTTTCTTTTCTTTTCTTTCTTTTTTTTGGCTGGCCATTACAGGGATCAAACCCCGGACCTTGGTGTAATCAGCACCATGCAGCAGTGCACCAAGCAGCACTATGCACCAAGCAGACTTTTTAAACTAGGTAGCTGTATTGCTTTAAGAAAAAAAAAATTTTTTTTAAAAAGGATGAGGTACCAGTTCTTACGGAACTAACTGGTTGTTATGAAAGGAGCAAGGCAGCAAATAAACCCTGAGATTTAAATATGAAAAAACAAAACAAAAACCTCCTCTCCGGAAATGGACTGCAAACACTGAGGTTAAGGGATGTAATACTTATTTTTTTCTTCAGTTATCTCTCACTCTCTTAGGCACATATTTTGCACTCAATAAGCTTTTCTGATTTCTTTCTTGGGGGGGGGCGCGCAGGGCTGGCGGCTGACCTATCGGAACCCTTGACCTTGGTATTACCAACACTGAGCTCCAACCAACTGAGCTAACCAGCTAGCCTCAATAAGCTTTTACGAAATGAACTGGATTTTGTGGGTGACCTTAGGCAAATTCTTTCACCCTTAAAAAAGTACCTTATATTTTTGACATAACAAAGTTGATAATCCGTATCTATCTTTGAATGTTGTTTTTTGATGAACATCAAAAATAATGCAGAGCAGAGGCAAAAACGTTGGCTATGCAACACCGAACCAATGCAACAATGCCAGGTTCCAAGTCTCGGAGGCTTCAGGGAGTTTTGGGAAGGGGGCGTTAGGGTTGGGGAGCTAGGCTGGACAGAAAGAGAAGATCCAGCACCAAGCAAACTACAGCTATTTCAACCTGGGGCCAGAAGCTGCCCCCTCCTATGCGTACCCCCTGGGGCCAGCCGCCCTTTCCAGGGAGGAACCCTCAACTCCAAATCCACCCCCATCACACCCTATCAGGGGCCATACCTGATTAAGGTCGCAGTCCCCAAGCCTTCCAGTAGCTCTGGTCAAGACTTCCCGTCCCCAGAGTGAGCTTGGGTACGAGGGCCTTCCACCCCGCCCACGACTTCGGTCAGTCCCCGGACCCGCCCCCTCATAGCTGGCTTGAGTTGGCGGCTGAGCGAAGCTAACCACTCCGGCACTGACACTGGCTGCCACTCAGCCAATCCCTTCCCCAGACTGCGAGCTCATTGGCGTTGCTACAGCTCCGCCCCCTCCGCAGGGAGGGACAAGCTGAGCCGCAGCCGCATCTCCAGCCCCAGCGATTGGTGGGGAAGCTAAAGGGAGTAAGCCCCGCCCCGTGCACGCGAGGGGAGGAATCCAATTAATGGAATAGCCCACGACTGAAACAGCTGATTTTCGAGAACCGCTTCCTGGCTGCGGAACCGAAACTAACCTGAGCACCCTGGAGGCACTAAGGGATCGAGAGGAAGGGGTGGGGCCAGAATTTCGACGTGTTGGAATAGGAAAGGGAGGGCTGAGGTAATAAAAATAATAACAATTTATTAAGGGTGCTGTTGATAAGCACTTTTGATTCATTGTATTAAGTTCCACATCAACCCATTCAGGTAAAGATTATTATTTTCCCCACTTTAGAAATTTAAAACCCGAGATTCAAGAAAAGAGTTACTAATCAGTGATCACTGAGGCAAGTGCTGCCTGAATTCAAAACCAAAGCTTCTGGCTCCAAACCCCAAACTTTTAAATTCCTACATTTTACAGCACTGTGTTCCTCCTGGATAACAAATCAATGATTTGAATTTTGAACACAAACATACAGCTTGTCAGAATATTAGATTTATTCGTTCTGTAATTACCACATTTTTTTTTTTATGTCACAAGACTCTCAGCCCCAGGATCTAAGTCATACCCCCAGAATAAGGCTGACCCCCAGTCGGGAGCTGGACTTACTACTTCTCGTACCAAAGGAGCCATAGTAGTTGTTTCTTCCAGGTCAGTCACCTCTGAGGTGCCCACCAACCCCTCCTGGCTGGCCTCCGGTTGAGGAATGTTTGCCTCTTTCTTATTATGATAATATTGAATCAACTGCTGAACCCCAGCCTTTAATGCAGGTTTAAGTGCAGCACTGATCACTACACCCACGGGCCCCCCTGACAGCCCGGCCATGGTCATCAGAAGGTCATAACCCAGATCTATGGCCCCATCTTGGCCTCGTTTCTTGGCCTTGTCTGAGCAGTTCTGAGCAGCATAATACAAAGCTGTGCCCAGGTTGTAGTAGGTTCCCACTCCCGGCAGTAGCCTGACAACATTGTGCACACCTTGCTCCTGTTCATTCTCACAGTCCTCCGTGGGAAGGGAGCGTCGGGTCCTCTCTGGGCCAGGCTGCTCTTTGGCTAACAGCTGCAGAGCAGAGGCCAGGGCGTCCAATGACACTGCCCTCCCTGTGCTTCTGCCTTTCTGGAGCCCTTGAAGATGGCGGATGAGGACCTGCGTAGCGTTCACACCACCCCAGTGGTAGAGCTGAAGCTGCAGGGCCCAGACATCAGCCTGACAGCCAGCTTCCTCCAGGGCATTCCTTAGAGCCAGGCCCACCAGGAACTTGGGTAGAGGGGCCATATGAGTGAAGCCAGGCAGGGACTTTGGGAGCAGGGTCTGGCAAGACAAGGATTCTGAGGAGGGTGACTGGGATCCCAAGGACGAGGGAAGGTGCATTGAGACATCTGTCTGTTTTCTATACGAAATGGCATCCACGGGGTGCAGGAGGAGATAGCAAAGAAGCACCTCAACTGGTATCACGATGAGCCTGAGGCTATGCATGTCTGGAGTGGAGTATCCTGGAAAGGGAGAAGCCCAAAACATACAAGCCGTTTTTCTAAGGGCTGTGGTCTGAAAGGAACTCAAGATCCAGTTAGGGGATACTTCATCCATCACCTACCTCCTTTACTTTTTTTTGGTAAAGGGCCAGGAAATAGGAAATGCAATCCAATTGCTCCCACTTGGTCTCGCTCATTTTCAGCTTACCAGGGACTTTCTCTGTTTCATTTCCACCCACTTTTAGGGGCCCCAAATTACCACATAGTCCAGTCATTGAGAAGCGAGACTGCCTTGGTAGATTTGGTTGCTCCTCAGTCCTGGTCTGCCCAGTTGTGTCCCATGAAGAAAGGAGATATTTGCTTTCCCCTGTGATCAGTAAAGGATGTGATCTCTGCAAATATTTACCATTTGTACTGGTTGCTCAAACCTTTTCCCCTGGTCACACAGTCCACCTCAGTACTTAAGACCCCATTCTTTGGCATTTCCTATATGTCCCTGCCACAATCCTACTCTAAGCTCATAAAGGGAGCCAGGGAGACTCATAATTAAGGGAGATTAGATTTTTGTGATTCTCTCATTTTATTTCTCTTTTCTGTTTAAAAATTAAATTAACAAGCTACAGCATCTAGTTGGGGATTTAGAAAGTACAGGGGAAATGAATGAGAAAAGATTAAAATATCTTTTATGCATACTACATATTAAATGCACGATATTTGATGACTGAAAGGAAGAAAACAAGGGGGTGGAAGTGGGATAGAAATAGGGACTGGCACCTATTAAGTGGAGAGGGAAAGACTAACACCAGTCATATGTGTGCTTAACACAGGGATGAAATAAAGAGCATACATCTGTCCTAAGTGGTCTCCAACATTTCTAACTACTTACTGTGTCCCATCCTTAAACACATTCTTGGGAAAGGAGACTTGTCTCCTACATGGCATTGAATATCTGAAATAAGCCTGGACAAATTCCTAAATCATTTTCCCCATAAAGCACTTTTGAATAACTATGGAACATTTGATAGATTATACTGTCATTGTCCAGAGACATTGAAAGTTTCTGGGCCGAGCCCGTGGTGCACTCGGGAGAGTGCGGTGCTGGGAGCGCAGCAGCGCTCCCGCCGCAGGTTTGGATCCTATATAGGGATGACCAGTGCGCTCACAGCGCTCACTGGCTGAGTGCGGTGCAGCCGGTCTCAAAAAGGACAAAAAAAAAAAAAAAAAAAGAAGTTTCTTAAGTTGGAGGTTTCTTCAGTTTTTTCCCAAATTCTTCTATATGTTCCAAGACTCAACCTGTAGCTCTGGATGATGTTGACAGCAAAAGCTTTGAACTGTGATACCAACAACATGGGAGATAGTTTCTCAGCAAACTCAGTCACCATCTGAGCTAACCGGTAGACCAGCCACCCCAGTGGTATATTTGCCACCATCCATATATTCCCCAGGGAGGGAAGCTGAGTTCTGGGTTTATACAAGCTTCGCTGAGGGCCCACCAGATCCCTAGGAATGATGTTAGTATTGCCAATACCTTCCCCCTTGTTGCACTTCTGACTCTCATGAATGAGGGTTTCGGTGGTATCCTTTCCTCCCGTTCCAATGAGCTGAAGCCGCAGAATGTGGGCCTCAGTTGGGCAGCCAACCTCCTGTTTGGAAGCTGATAGCTTCCAAAACAGTAAGGAACATAGCATTTGCAAATATTTACACATTTCTTCCCAGCCAAGACTTTGCCCTCCTTATCTTTGCCCCATAATAACAAACTGGCCTTTCCCGTTTTGAGCTCTGCTAGTCCTGCTCCATATCCTTGTTGTCCTGAGATTTTACCCTAAATCTATATATGAGATGATGGAAAGGTCCTCTGTATTTTCTGGAAAGGATAAAGGGCAAGGAAGAAAAACTGGTGATCTCTGGTAGGGGACCCTTAAATGGTTCTCCTTATTAGAAGAATACATTGATTGTGGTCCAGGGAAACTGGAAAGATTTATAAATCAGACCAAATCAGAGCAACTTTTATTTTTCACCTTTCTAATTCCAATGCAAAACACAAGTAAAACATGTATACCAGCTGAGCAGTAACTCTTTCCAAATCTAACCAAAACTTCAGGAATTGGGCTTCATTTCGGGTTTAGGGGTAATGTTAGTCTAAAAATTAGGAGAAGAAGGCATCTGATGATTTCTAAAACTGGTATAAATTCCATCATATCATTATAGTGTAGTTTCCTCTGATGCTGCCACTCACCTCTGGAAGAAGCCAAAGGGAATAGGCTAATGGGAAGGGTCCAGGGCCTTTCCATTTTTTTCACTTTTGAGTTCCCAGCAGTGGCCCCTGACAAATAAGAGCAAAGACAGAAGAAAGAAAAGAAGTAGGTCTCCAGGAATACACTGCCAAAATTGGAAGAAAGAACTAGGCAAAGAGGAGGCCAGCACTGCCTGAAATTACTAGACCCTAAATTCCTGGAGAATCCCTAGGACTCTATAGTTTCTGTGTAGCAACATAGGAAAGGGTAAAATATTTAACCCTTTTCTCCTAAGATCTATCAAAAAAGCAAAAAATGTTTATTCTTTCTCATCATTGTACTAGAAGTTCTAACTAGTGTAATGAAGAAAGAATAAAAAATAAATGGCATAAAACTAGAAAGGAAGACATAGAACTATATTTATTTAAAAACAATGTAATTGTTTATGTAGAAAATCCTAGAGCCAATTTTTTAAAAAAGAACCAATAAGTGAATTTAGCAAGGTGACATTAATAAAAACATTAATATATAAATATATATAAAAATATACATTATATTTCTGTATTCTAGGAACATACACTGAAAATTAACTTAGAAAAACAATTCCAATTAAAATCATGTTTAAGGTCCAGGGTTAAAAAATAAAAGAAAAAGAAAAAAAAAAGAATCTTTAAAAAAAATCATAAGAATCCTGAAAGAAGAAACAAGACAAGGATGCTCACTTTTGCCACTTCTACTCAATATTGTACTGGAGGTTCTAGCCAGAATAATGAAATTAGAAAATGAAATTAAATGTATCCATATTAGAAAGGAACAAGTAAAACAATCTCTGTTATCAGGTAACATGATGTTGTATATAGAAAATCTCAAATATTCCACACATAAAAAAAAATCAAAAGAACTAATAAATGTGTTTATCAAATTTGTAGGATACACGATCAATATACAAAATCCAGTGGTACTTGTATACATTTGCAATTAGTAATTTGAAAATAAAATGAATAAAACAATTCTACTTGTAATAGCATCAACAAGAATAAAA